TATATATATATATATATATATGTGTGTGTGTGTGTATATATATATATAAGATAGTGTTTTTATGCTTAATTTATACTTTAATGCTCACAAAATACATAAAAAAATAAAGTAACATTGTGTAACATTATTACAATTTAAAATAAATGTTTTCTTTTTGAATATACTTTTAAATGTAATTTATTCCTGTGACGCAAAGTTGAATTTTCAGCATCATTATTCCAGTGTTCAGTGTCACATGATCCTTCAGAAATTATTCTAATATGCTGATTTGCTGCTCAAGAAACATTTCATATTAACGGCAATGTTGAAAACAGCCGTTTCAATTCTCGGATGAATAGAAAGTTCAAAAGAACAGCATTTATTTGAATTGTAAAACATTATAAATGTCTTTACCAATTTAATGCAATCTTGCTGAATTTTTATTTTTTATTTTACTGGCAGAACTTTTGAATGGTATCATGGTTTCCACAAAAACATTGATAATAATAAGAAAATTTTTCTTGTGCACCAAATCAGCATATATTCTATTTAATATTTTAATTCATATTTTATGACAAAATATATTTTGCAAACGAAACAGCTATTTTGTGGTGTTGCTAGCCACTAAACTCTTTCCCCACCAGTGTTTTTTTTATTTATTATTATTATTATTATTATTCTTTATTAAGTTGCCAGCCACCACCAGCATTTTTTATAATTTTCACAAAAGTTTAACGGTGCCCAGAATATTTTGTTGTATGAATACCTGAACAAAGAACAGAGCCTCTGCTTTAGAGAGAAAAAAAAAAAAAAAACCTTATCAACCCTTGAATGTGGGTGTTTCATTAAAACAGCAACATTCTGAACAAAAAGCTGAGAAAATCAAATTTTTGTAAAAGACCATATCAGATTCAGAACAATGATCAAAACATAGATTCAATAGACTGCTTCCATCAACACATCCAAAGTTGCACCATTTCCTGGACATTTCATTTGGTACACACACACACACACACACACACACACATACAGTATATATATAATGCATTTTTGTTGAATGGAAAAGAGCTGGGAGATTTTTGCAACAAAATTTTAACCTTTTTTCAACCTACAAATTAATTATCATAGGTGCATGATTTGCTGCTCAAGAAACATTTCATATTAACGGCAATGTTGAAAACAGCCGTTTCAATTCTCGGATGAATAGAAAGTTCAAAAGAACAGCATTTATTTGAATTGTAAGACATATACTATATTTACTATATATAAGACTACCGTGTACATGAAGTACTGAGGTCTGAGGACAGGTGATTTTCGGGGAAGTGGGGGATAATTAAATAATCTTAATGCAAAAAAATGATAATTTTTATACATGATTTACACAGAAATTTGTTCATGTTTCATAAATGAAACCCCACGTGTAAGAGTAATGTTTTCTAAATGTAATGTAATGAAATTACAATGTAATTTCTTGCTTGTGTGTGCCTGTGTGAGTTTATGTACCTGTAAATGTCTAAGTGTGAACACCACAGGCTCAGTCAGAAACACTCGACTGGACTCTTTATTGATCGACGCTGCGATGACGTGTGAATTCACTGCCAGGCCCCGCCCACCAAGCCCCGCCTCCATTTCCATCTTCACGGTTGCGTTTTCAGTGGACAGGAACGAACCCAGGTTCTTATAGAGCACGAAGACCACTTTTACCTGGCCTGTACAGAGAAACACAGCACAAGAAAGAGGGAGAGAGTTATTGAGTGGAAGAAGGATATGAATAACAACTAAGAGGAAAAAGGGAGCGGTAGAGTGAGTTGAGTGAAGGTTAAAATGATTTGGGCTGGGTGAGTGAGTGATCGGGGGATGAAGGAATTTTAATATGGAGGGCAACGGAACACTCATCCCTTCAGCACTCACTCACTCCATTTCTTCCGTATGAATATTTCATGTGCGTTTGTTTCAATCATACTAATCTCACTTCCCCCACCCAACCTGCCTCTGATGAGAAGCAGCCAATGACGACGCGGCTTCAAAAAGAGGCTAAATGCGGGAGTGGCGGAAAAAGCGAAGAGTAGGAGAGCTGATGGGGGGATAAGATGGCTAAGAGATGGAGGGGACAGGAAGGAGAGAAGCAGGAGAAAAGAAAAGAGTGCCGAGATTGCTCTGTCAGCCTGAAAATGATAGTAATCTAGTCGCCTCTCGGGCTGTTTGATTAAGAGTGCCGTTAAGAAACCATCAGGGAAGAAATGGTCTCAGCGCTTTTGTTAATCTGATTAGGTTTATTATTATCAACCAATAACTGGGTAAACCGAAGCGGAAATTTCGCTAAGCTTCAGTGAAACTGCATAGGGCCAAGTCGTGGATCGTGATGGAAGGGACAGGAAGAGAGAGAGCGAGCTGTGACTGACCATTGCGGCTGTATTGTTTGAAGGTGGAAGCCGAGAGCTGGATGTTGCTGTCGCTGGGACCGTTCTGAGGGAACGACAAATCCTGAGAATCTGTCTCTGTGTTCAACACACGCACCTCTAGATCTGAAGGCACACAAAAACACACACTTTGAAAGCTTGAACTGTAATAACACAGAAACAAATAAATAATAAAAAAAAATAAAAAATTTATATGATAAATTATGCACTACTGTTAAGACTTTAAAAAAAAAAAGGAATGAAAAAGAAAAAATAATTTTATTCACAAGGACACATTAAATTAATCAAAAGTGACAGTACAGATACTTATAATGTTACAAAAGATTTCTATTTCAAATAATCCCTGTCCTTTTCCATATGAAGCAGCACAACTGTTTTTCAACATTGATAATAATAAGAAATGTTACTTGAGCAGCAAATCACTGGAGTATTGATTCTGAAAATTCAGACTGGCCATCAAAAATAAATAAATACATTTTAAAATATAGTAAAATAGAAAATAACTATTTTAAATAGTAATAGTATTTCACAATTTTACTGTTTTTATCAAATAAATGCAGCCTTATTGAGCATAAGAGACTTTCAAAAAATAAGAAAAAAGATCTTACTGACCCCAAGCTTTTCAACAGGAGTGTATATATATATTTTTTAAATCAGAGCAGTATTTTTTAATGACATTGCTGTGAAAACCACCTTTGGAACTTTTATTTTTAAAGGGGGCATCGGATTATTTTTTATTTTTTATTTTTTTTTGCATTTAGTTGTTGGTGTGACTGCCAGCTCAGAAAAGCTGAAAAGAAATCATGCAGACAGTTTGTTATGGGCTGTCTGAGTCTGAAACTCTGTCATCCAGCGAGCTCTTTCAATTTGCAGCCGGTTTCTACATAGATAGCTGGCTATTTGAATAAAACCACCTCCGAGCCATTTACAGAGTCCAAGGCAGCAATTCACATGCCTTGTGTCGACACGCCCCATGGAAGAGAGGGGCGGGGTTAGCAGTAGCTTATTATCATTTAAAGAGACATGCACCGAAATGGCTCGCTTTTAGGGCTGAACGATATATCGTTTTACCATCGATATCGCGATGTGTGCATCCGCAATAGTCACATCACAGGATGTGCGATGTTTAGTATAGGCTACTGGTCGTTATATTTATACTGATTGTTTTCTTTGCTCACACACAGACATGGTGTCTACACCGGACGCGACAGCTGTACATAGATACCCATTTCTAAATACATTTAGTAGCAGAACTACAGCAGGCGATTTTCAGTACTGGAAATCCGTTTATCCTTTGTTGAAACTTCCGCGTCGTCGCGAGAGCACGGGTCACGGTCGCTTAGCAACGGCAGACTCCAGGAAAGCACAAGCTCCCGAGCGCTTTGGAAAGAAGGAGAAAGCGGTGCGGCTGCGTTTTCCACCCGCGACATGTGAATGGCCCCAAAGTCTGTCTACAACGGACGCGAAAAAGCGACCGTTGCATATCATTTGAACTTTGTGTCAGTACGTCATAAACGAGGCATCAGTTTAATGTCTGTGATTTGTCATGTTGCGCCGCATCCAGTGTAGTCAGTCACACAGCATCACTGATTAAAATGGGTTCATAGTATTTTGTCGCGCCACTCGCGTCCGGTGTAGACACAGTGAGAGCCAAGCAGATGCACGTGAACACTGATTTCTGTTCACTTCTGCGTCTATTTGTGCCTGAAATATGGTGCTCTGCAAGTATCCTTGTAAACACAGTTGCTTACGGCTTAGGTGAAGGTAAACAATTGAGAAAGAAAATGGATGTGTAACAGTATATTGGTTCACAGCAGTTTAATGTTCCTGTTGCTTTCTCTGTCATGAACGTTAATTAAACAACAAAACACAAAGAAAAATCACTTTTGTAGCTTTAACACAGATTTATTAGATTTAATTTATAGTGAAAACTATGCAGTGTTATTTTACATTTGATTATTCAATTTCTGTGCCTGAATACTGTTAGACTTACCTGAAAAATATAAAGCACTGCTTATTTCATTTGTATCTTTGTTCTGTTATTTATCTATGCTTGTAATTTGTTTATTTCCTATGCTGATTTACTCGCCTACAAAATCCCCCCAATCATTGATAATTTTTTTCCAAATAGAGCTATTGAAGTCATCTGCTTTTTTTTTCATATCGCAATATATATCGCAGAAAAAAAAATATCACAATGTGAGTTTTTTCCAATATCGTGCAGCCCTACTCGCTGTGAACAAAGCTGTTTTTGACCAGGTAAAGAGGGTGTTGTTTTACACAAGCACTGAGGAATTTTAACCAAATTATGTTTTTCATGACATTTCATGAAGACCCTAAAGAATCATACCAACTTGTGGAAAATGGCCATCCGATGTCCCCTTTAAGAGTGTACTGTCATGTTAACAAAACATCCCCTCAATACTTTTAGTTTCTCCTCAACACAAACTCACCGACATTGGCAGCGTGGTCTGAGAAGTGATTATTGTACATGTTATTGGCCAACAGGAAGGCTCCTTTCTCCATGACGTCCAGTAGCATGGTGGCAGTGTGCGCCTGCTCCGTACTGTTCATGTCCTGCCATGACTCTAAAGCCTCGGCATGCAAAAGATTATCCACAGTCTGCACAACCGCCTGCACACACATACCCGACAACAAACACACACTTACACTTCATTATAATTACACTCTACATCAAAAATGATAAAATATGACTCTCTGTGAATGTCACATCTGTGAATCTTACGTAACGGCTGGATTTGATTTCTACTAAGGAGTAACATCTTATAGGCCATTATAAATGACAAGAGCGCTAAAAGAAAGCCTTGGGCAAGATGTACAGTATCCTCATTGCTAGAAGTCTCTCTCCCTCCCTCTCTCTCTCTCTCTCTCTCTCTCTCTCTCTCTCTCTCACAC